GTTGCTCATCTATGAGCTATGCAAAGCGGACACTGGCCCCTCTGATAGTTGTGATTACACCACTTGCGCGCTACTGCGCGCTACCGTATCCCACGCCTAAAAATAAATATTTTCCAGGGCTCTAATCAATCATTTCTTTCCTGTTCGTGATTTGTTTTCATTTTTCTCTTCCCTATTCGTGATTTTTTTCATTTTCTCGTTCCTATTCGTGATTTTCTCATTTTTCTTTGTTCTGCCTCATTGCGCTCTGTTTAGTTTGCTGTTGGGAGCAGCATTTTCACTTTTTCATTGCAGCTCGTAGGTTGGGACGTTGAAGTGGAACAATTGTTCCTCCATTATTGAGTTTTGCACTGTCAGGGAATTCCGCTCACATAAGCTGTTCTGATAGTTGGGTGCCACCGAAAAGTCACTTCCCATCATTTGGTGAAGCCCTTTCTTCTTAGCCAATCATCTTCTATATTCGCAAGTTCGTGAATTTTGGTGAATTCCCTTTGTTCGGTGCCTCGTTATGTTTTAGCGACAGAGTGGCACATGTTGGGAATGTGACATCCCACAGTGCTATTCTCGAAATGAACTCCACCGAACCGGACCGTAACGAATGTCTGTTCCGCCACGTGCAGGTAAGTGGTCTCCCTGCTTCCCCTAGTCACTTCTATTGCCCGGACTAGTTTATATAGTTCCGTTCAGGTGCACGACGTACTCTTGGCCATGTAGTGGCACACACAGAAAACTCAACATCCGCGCCCACCCCTGTAGAAGAAGCAAGAAGGTGACCCGTTTCGAAAGCTTGGCTCTTCCTTAATCTTTCCACTTGTAGGATTTTGATAAACTATGGATTTACTTGTTTTCTTTTATTATTGTTGTTGGCGATTGCAGATAAAGATTAACAACGTTAGTTGCGGAATATGAAATAAATATTGACTCTTAATTCATTTTTCCTTTTCAGTTCTTTTGGTCATGCCGTCGACAGCGGGTTTTTTCCCATCTGCTGTCAAGTGCTGCTCCGCCCCAATGATGTGTTGAGGCAAAGTTAACGTTCAAGATTAATATTTGTTATGTGTTTTTATTTATCTTTTTTTAGATGTTGTTCATCAAATCGCTGTCCGTTGGTAAGCAAGTCGACGGTTACGAAGACGTTGAATTTAACCATCAATGTTCCTGTTTTGTCTATGAAAACGATTCTTGACTTTATGTTGGCCTCCTCCGCCCTCGATGAGATTATTTTTCAGCCTGTAAAGTTTGAATATTTATTGTCGTGCTTAATGTACTCCCAGTGGCATAAATAACAGGCGGTTCACTTTGATATCAAACGAGGACGCTCGATAATAAACACAAAGGCAGAATTATTGGTAGTCAAGCGGTAGCAAAAAAGTTAAACAGCAGGTAAATAGCGCAAAATATGAAGTGGAAACATCTTCGTTCTACACGTCTCACAAAGCAATTTTGAACAAGTATTGCTTTTGGAATCGTCGAGAATCGTTTTGGTAGATCTATGCAGCACTGGAGCTGGTTCATATCAATCCGTTCGCTTTATGTCGTACGTTGAAGTTGAACTGCTGTGAGCATTGTGGGCGGGGAGGCGCGGTGTGGGCGGTAGGTGGTAGTGTACCCTCCTGTCGAAAAGAGCGCAAACCGGGTCAGTATCAACTTCTAGCCTACTAAGAGCGCGGCGTGTGCATCTTGCCGAATTAGCCGGACACCACTAGCCGGTAGATGTGTATGGAGTGACCCTTGTTTCAGACGAGATCGCTTGAGAGAAAAAGTTCCAGCCCGCTCCACAAAAATAAGCAGCTGCAATCAATCATGGACTATGGCGCAATCGCAAGTACTCTATCACCAACCGCTATCTTTTCACACATACCAACAGAATAACACCTAGAGTCAGCTATCCTGGCCCTTCGTGCTTTGACTTGGTGAGGAATAGTGACGAAGAGGAAGGTATCTGAACACCTGTATCCCACTGCGCTCAAATATAGACGCATCTCCCACGAGGTCTCTCCGACATTGAATAAAACTAGGCGTGAGGTTACTGTAGCTCCGCAGTGTACGCAATGGCACACAGCCGCAGCTGTGCGAAAGAATGGCGCCTTCAATGGAAGTCGACGAAGCTCGATTCGTCCAAGATTTTCGGATTGTAGCGCGTTTGTTGGGTTTGTTTTAATCACTTGCAGTGCTTGCGTCTCTTGCAAATGCTGTTCTCCTTCAAGAAATGTTTCACTTTCCCCGCTTCGTACTCCAACCTGTCGAGAGATTTTCAGTCTAGGTTAAATCCTCTTTTCTCCGCTCTAGAAGTTCATGAGGCTTGCCATGAGCAGTTTGAGGATAGCCGATTGGTCGAGTCTTTTTTTTATTTTTTATTGAGATTTTAGATTGATTTCATAGCTGGCTTTGACGCTCTTGCTCACAAGCAGGAATTCTCGTGTGTTCTTTTGAACTACTTTGATTATTACTTTTTTACAGATGCGGAACGCTAGTTTAATGACACCTAGTCCATTGTCAGAATATTTGAATAGAAGTGCTCAGTTTTCGCCGGTGGTCCAAACAAATGACAAAAGAACGCCAGCTACGGCTAATAGGTAAATTATTTATAGAAATTGTTGGGTGAAAAATGAAACATCGCTTTCCAAATGTCCATTATGTTTAGATTACATAGGATTAAGGCAACACTTCTCCCATGGTGTATCGTTTTAGCTGTTCTTCTTGTTGAGGTGATCTCTTTATTTTTTTATCAACCTCTCCCATATCTTCGCAATCATACTTTTCTCAGATTTTCACATTCGGGTCCTATATCGGGCAATTTTTGGTCGGCGACTGGTTACCGTGTGCTGTTGTTGTTATCCTCGAATACATTCTCTTGCTTTACGTCATTATTGTAGCAGTTTGGATAGCCTTCGATTTGTTTAGCGCCTCATCTGAGAAGGGGTTCATGCACGGTCAGTTTCTTGATGTGCAAAAACTCGAGACTTCTTGCGGATTATAAAATATATTGTTTAGGATGCATTCAAGCGACTTTAAATTTCTTTTTTTAGCCAGTTTCGGAATGATATTGCCTTCGCCCTATCCCCACTCCAAACTATCCAAGCCTAGCAACCTGCTGAATACTTCAAATCGGGCTGATTCGTCTTGGATTGACGACCATCACTTTGGCAAAGTTGCAGAGGAAAGTCCATCACATTCCCGACTTGCGTATGCCTCTCCGAATCGTAGGTGTGGTCATTTTGCTATTAGTCGTCTTTCTCGTGGGGTCAACTTTTTAAAAGTGAATCTCTCAATGTCCTCTGATTTTAACAGCTCTTCCGAAGGGAGTACATACTTTTTATGAGCCTGAAACCAAGGTGCTGTATGAGGCTGCGTTCATACTCTGCGTCAGTGTACGCCAGCGGCTAGGAAAGTATGGATATCGGCTTAGCGAACGTCAGCGTGCGGCAGCGTTTCCGCAGGCAGTTTTGCTCAAGCTCAAATTGCCCGCGAGAAACGCTGGCGTTCACTAGATTGATATTTATACTTTCCTAGTCCCTGGCGCTGGCGTACGCTCGAAACGCTGCCGTACGCTGGAGTACGGGCTGCGCAATGTATGAGCGCAGCCTTATTCGGATTCTTCCGATTCTACGATATTTCAACCCTCTAAGATGGACAAGTATACATCCCTATCTCGCGAATTTTTCGAAAACTGAACAGCATTGCTATGAATGCGGACCAACGTATGGCCAATGGCGCTATTAAGGAGGTGGCCCTGTCAACTTTTCAATATGGGTCTTGTTTTTGTTTTTCCCTGTAAATTCTTGTCAAGTACCCTGTAAACTACTGCCAAGCTTGACGAAATGGTACTAGTCAAGGTGTCCAGGGTGTTAACAAAGTTGTACGGTATCATGTACAATTTACAGAATTTGTTATGATGACAGGCGCTTACACGTCCCCCCCCCCCCCCCAAGTTTATCAGCGACCTGCTATTGTCCAACAAAGCAGAAGGGTTTATGGTCTGGTGTATTTTTCACTTTTCGTGATTGTTTGCTTCAGTTTCAACATGATGAATGACTCTACACATTATATGGATGTGAGCGCGGGTAGCTTTATGGATTCATCGGTCGGATTTTCGGGCAATGTGGTTAGGTCTCGCCACAGCCCTTACAGCAAAACTATCGGAAGCATTCACACAAGAGAACAGTTGGACTATCTTTTATCGAAGGAGTAGGTTACTTTATCACTCAATTCTGGTTGAAGAATTGGTTTCTTCATCGAGGCCTCTTTAGCAATTCTCTGAATATGGATGCATCTACGTCGCGGAATAGTTCTTTTCAATACTTCAACGTCCTAGATATAGGAGCACCCGAGGACCGGCGAGGCTATCAGGTTTCGGAACAGCTGAAACCATCTGATTCAAAGGAGAATAGTGAGAAGTTTTTGTTGTTTTCACAGAATTCTCGTAAACTTTGTTGAAAGTAGTCTTTGGGCGCCCCTTCCCTTCCCCACCTCTCTGACTTATGTTATTCGTAGTTCGTTTTATTCGTATTCGAGGGACCACGCTAACCACCTATAACTTTTGTACATATCCCTGTGACATTGACGTACATTACTTCCCCGTTGCCGCTTGTCCCCGAAACCATTCACTAATGCTCTCTCTCGCCTCAAGTATAATTCTATGAACCTAGGCTGGAATTGCCCACAACTTTCAATCTCAGTTTTCTATCGTTGGGTCGAAAAAGGTCCGGGACATCGTACAATAATTGCTCCTGCAAGTAGATGACAGCGATGGCAAGACGAGATGACCAGATTGAGGCATGCACTCCAGCATGCAAGGCACAGTCCACGAAAGGTATGCACCATTGGGTATTTTAAGGTTGTTCATGGAATCGGAGCTGTTTGACAAATCTTCATTTAAGCCCGGCTCAATATTGCGTCGTAGCGAATCCATTGAGCGACGACGACGCAGCATAAGCATGTCATCTCCTGAAAGGCCTATTCTCTCATCAGGATCGGGAACAATCCCAGTTAATGCCGAAATTGATGCAAAAAGGTAGGTTTGTGTTCTAACAATGACCATTTTGTTGGAGTAAAAAAGTGAAGGGCAATTGTTCTTTGTCTTACCGTTCCGTTTTCGTTGGAAAAATTTTACTAAATCCATCCCAAAGCTGTTTATCGATACAGATCGTCCTTGCGTGAAGTCGATTTTGCACGCGGAGAACAGCGACTGAGAGCATGGCTTGTCAATACGATTCTGGAGCCTCTTCATCAGCGCATCAAGGAGACGAACTCGAAACTGGAGAAGGTAAGACTCTCAACGAAGTATAGCCGTTACTCAGTCATAGATCTGATACGACTTTTGTCTTCCGTGGAATTTTTCAACTTCCATAGCTTTACTAGCCATTGGTAAAAAACTCATCACCTTGATTTTTCAGGAACACGCAAGCCCTCCAATCAAAATAGGATTCTCGTCTGTGGAAGCGCTTCAAGCAGCGATGGTCAGTCGACCAGAACTTCTTGACACTATGCTCCCTTACATATTACCTTTCCTTCATGTGCACAGCAATCAGGTAAAGAATTACACCCAGAATTACAAATCGTTGTTCTTTGCTAAAACCTTGGAATGATGTGCTGATTTGTGTTACGTTTACTGCGACGCAGAGGGGGCATTTGGCTTTTTCGCTGCTTCCCGTTGTCGCGTCAAGTCATCAAGCAGAGATCTGTGAAATCTTGTGGAGCCGTTATGTGCTAGCAGTCAAAATTTGTAGGAATACCCGTGAGTTTATGTTAAAAATACCTGGCAACTCTTATAAAGCAATGCAAGGGAAGCAGCGGAAGTGCAAATCCCTCCCCCTCCCCCGGTCGCCGAACTGCGCTTCACACCTTCCAAACAAGATCCTGCGGTGATATCTTTGTTCGGCCTCACGTTTGAACATCGGCGACTTTTTCAAAGGCTTGAACAGGCTCAAGACTTGATTTCTTAGCTACCTGACTGAGTGTATTGTCCGCACCATAGCTGGGCCTTTGGTGAGTTGAGTGTTCCCAACGTGGATCGTGTGTACTCTCGACAGAACATCAAGGGCGCTAGAGAATAAGAGGGCACTACTATAATTGAGAAGGGCACGCAATGCTGCGAGAAATTCCGCTCATCTTCGTGCTGGTACGAGAACGGGTAAACTCTGGTCGTCTGCGCTCTGTGAGGCTGAGAACCTTGGAAGCGGAGGAATCGCTCGCTGAGTCGTGCCGCGGTGTCGCTCCACTGAAGTACAGTAGCGCAAGAGGCCATTGGTCAGGTAGTACAGAAATTAGGGTCAACGAGCCTTTCAGGCCTCTGTAAGGAGGAAAGTGTCGAAACGTAAGACCAAACAAAAGTTCTGTCATCATTATTCAACGAAAGTAAAGAAGGCACACGGTACACTTTCTTATTGAATGCGCTGAAGCACACGCATTCAGGGATACTTGGTTAGCCGCATCTCGGAGCTCGCTGCTGATAAGTTCATGATGGAGTACAGTTGGAACAGTGGCGGCAAAGAGCCTGTACAAGAAAAAAGTTTGTTCCCATCCTTTTCTGTCATTTTTATTGACGGTTCATGTTGTTTCATGAGTTTTTGCGTTTAGTGTCCTCTGGTCGAGTAGCGCGAAGGCCGTGGGGTGAACATCTGCCCACAGACGCGATGCTGGTCTTTTCACTTTTCTCAGCTTATATGGATTGTCAGTTGACGTCAAATCCACTAGTCGGCTCGTGCAGGTGATTAACGAAAAATTTAAAGTTAAAAAGTGGTCTTTTACACGATGACTTCCTATTCTCTCAGGCTGGCACAGCCATTCTCGGCCGTGTACACATTGAGGACACCTGAAAGACCAAACGCCGTTCATTTAGCAGCTGAGAGTTTCTATCTGCACATGGTGTGGTTTCTATTAATTTCTACAATAATTTGCCCCTTGAATTTGTCATTTTCAGAGTAGCACCTCTCCTCCTCACTTTGACTTCGTTTGCAATGATGCCGATGGCTCCCCATCACGTGCTGCTATTCCACGAGGAGCGAAGAACTTGTTTTCTGCAATTCTGTCTTTCATCCATCATGCTAAGGTACTTTTCCGCCATCTTTTACATAAGATCTATTCTTATATTGCCGCTCTTAATTTCGTTTGGCTGATTTCAGGTGAATAATGGTGGGCGGCTCGATCGGATGAGTATCGGTCCAACAGGCTTGAACATTGCTTGTGTCCTGGAGTGAGAAAGACACCACGCCTAACCACGCTACACTTCTAATGTTTCCTTTTATCTTTATCAAGTTGTTATTGTATGTTTCTCAGTTCAAGAACACAATTGGTGTATTTTCCCGATGGGTAATTCTTTGACTTATTTGGTGCACTTACGTGTAAGTTGCTCTAATAGTGATCTCTGTTGAATGTAATGTTTACTGTTGTCACCTCGCTGAAGAAGTTGAACAAGATTTCATGTTACTAAAAAGTTCATGGCTTACAAGTAGTACTTTTGGGTAGTGTAGAACGTTGTGGGCTGAACAGCTTTACGACCGCAGTCCCGCTATGAATTAGTCGCCGCTGCGATGTTGCCACCGATGAGAGTTCGATCGAGAGACCAGAAGTATTTAGTCCCGTTGGCTGCAGATGATGGGCGTGTCAGGGCGGCGGCGTTTTACGCTGCGCCAAATTTTTTTTCCTGCAAGCGACAAGACTGTTGCATGTCGCTCGTATTTCTCTACCAGTTTTTGTCATTTACCTCTTTCGCAACGTAGATGAAGCGGACTGGCCAGCGTGTGTGAAGAGGCTGACACGCGCCATCATCCGCAGCAAAGGTAGCTGGCTTGACACGCCCATCATCCGCAGCGAAAAAGACGAAGTTTGATATATGGCTAACGTGGCAAGAGAGGTTTGAGTCAAGGTACCATGTTATGTGATGGAGCGACAAGTCTTCGGAGCCCGAGGGTGGCGAAGCGATGAGGAAGGGGCGGGACGACCATCTGTGTCTCGGGTGTTTTCAATACATTTGCATTTTTATTGGAGTATTTCACCTTAGAAGGCTCTCTGTAAAAGGTGGACTTCAAGAAAGCTCCCTAGAACAACTGGACCACAGTAACTTGCGTAGTCCATAAAAGGAGAGAAAAAGGGCATTCGTAAACGTGCAATAAGTCTACGAGCTTCAGTTTTCGGCTTGTAAGGGGAAGGATAAAGTTATGGGCATTGATTGGCCTTCACAACCTGGCTGGCCTTATCTGGGGCAAGATGTGCTCCAGTGATGAAAAAAAGAACGAAGAATAACAAGAGAATATTGCATCAAGCTCTACATTGGATATGGTCTTATAAAGGCGAATAAGATACAAGTATATGTAATTATATTAGGTATCATCGCAGCCCGTTCCAGGAGGCCTGGAATGAGCTCACCTGCAGCTGCTTCTAGATAAGTGGTAGTCAGTTCAAGTAGAAAACAACCACTGGAAGAAAACGACCCGGCTGGGCTCATTACGCGCATCTCCTGACACTGCTCGCTGTACCCTTTTTATGGCTCAGAACAAACGTGGCAAGTCAAGGCAGAGAAGCGGCCAGCTGGATAGCGACGACAACATTGCGGCTTCTGTAATCCAAACAAAGCAAGCTAAAACATACCTTCTGAAACTCTTCGAAAATATAGGAATGATTCAAAATTCAAGCGTTGCAGGTGTATATTCTCGACTGCATAGCGGATGTGGTGGGTGACGGTATAATTGTTCACTGCAATTAAGCATGTGTCATAAATCACCCGAAACGTAGAAGGTGACAGCGAATGATTATACGGGTTGTGCCGTGCTCTAGGGAAGGCTAGCTTATCTGAGACAATAGAGGAGGGAAAAGTTTCAATGCAGTGCGAACCACTTAGACGCTAAGAACAATTGGCTAATGCGATCTGCTAGGAATATCATTCGTCGGCCGTTGGTTTCCCAATCAGGGCAAACATCGCTGTGTAAAACACTACATAGGATATATTTGGCCATTACGGAGATGGGGGAGCGGGTTGTGGTGTTCAGCAAATTTCACCCTACACGATGATGTACAGTGTTTCCAATGGCTGGCGTGAGTGTCAGTTAATACTCCAAATCTTTGAGATGCGGTGGGCGTGGTTACGTACTTTCTTCGAATACGACGGCAGTTGCTCTTTTGGTGGAATACTTTGTTTTTGGCACGCTTGTAATCATGAGTCCGTAAACACATGGGCAGCGAGACGCTTGTTATCATACGTGAAAATTACAGATTGCATCCACTTATAGGAGTATAAATATGGTGCTGTCCTGAGTCTCATTTATATTGGAGTAATGTAAAACAATGTGAAACTCCCAAAAGTATTATTCGAAAAGAGTCAAAGACAGTGAATTTCAAAGTTTTGTTATAATATATTCTTAATTGCGATTATTTCGCGTGGCCTAGCACCTTCGTCAGGACCTTTGAAATAGTTTAGCTTTGTGTGTGGTTATACGTCTACAATATGATGAGCAACACGCAGGACCACCCACCATAGTTCAGTGTCTCCGCAGAATAAAGGACCAACCCACCCAACATGCCTTTAAATAGATGGGATACTTGTGGCGCGATACATTATCACTTTAGTTTGCATGCACGTAGCTCTCCTGCTTATTTATCTGGTGAGAGCCGTTTATTTCAGCAGCCTCGCATAATTTCTTTCCTTGTGTTTCATGAGCGGTGTTGCATGTTGATGCCGGTATGATGGGGAGTTTTGGTGAGCTGTTGAATGGTTATACAAGACTCGCACGCCACACATAGGAACCACATTCGCACGGACGAATTCTTGGTGTTACTTTACCTATGTAATGAAAACACAGCCTATAAAAGTAAATATATATGTGAATAGCTTATCACTTGCGACTACGTTTTAATATTCGGTACCGCACGCAAATTTATAACGTCCTCTCTTTTTCTAAGAGCTTATGCAATAGATGTGGGGGCAAGGTTGCAGCTTACTGTAACACTTCCAAAATTCCAGCTAGTGGAACAGTTTATCTGTGGAGTGTCAAGTGATGGCGAACAAAAAGATGGTGGAGAGAAACTGGAGCGCCCTCTTAAAATAGGATCGACGTGTAACACCGGCAGATGCGTGAGGAATCACCTTCTACACCCAATAGCAGTGTTCAGCATCGAACACATGAACACGCTCACCAGACCCCCTCATTAACATCACCAGTTTGATACAACGCCTCAGTGGAGAAGAACAGTGGCAGGAAATATTGGAGGCTCTGTAAATTAAAAAGGCTACTCCCAGGAAATAAATAGGGGGCGTGACATCATGCAAGTTGATAATGTAAGTCGGAACCACAAGGTATTCCACATTTTAAGGAATGGTTGGGGTGGCTGTTGCGTAATTTAGTTAGGGACAAGTTGGTAGCTGGCTTGGTGGGAGTGCGCAGCAGCGGTCGTGCGCGTTTGCACTTTGTAGATAGCTATAACCAACACACCTAAGCTTAAATATTCAGGTGCCTGACGAAGATGACTATCGCACCCGAAATATTCGACAAGATTTAAGCATATTAATTGATAACAAACTTTTTGGACAGTTCCGTTTTTGAGTTTTTGAATAAACTTGGGAGTTTAGATTGTCGGGTTACACACTCCACGGGATGTGAAACTGTAGCACGCAGCCAATACGCCACCCGATCGTTTGCGTATATATGGACGTTGTATGTTGATCGACAAAGGTCTCCAGAGTACTCTTCAATGCTATCAGGTGAGATAGGACGGCCAGAACTACATCATCACTGTGTTAAAGGTTTTTGGCGTTGTGCCCAGAAGGAGTTAGTGCCAAGACGGCTACAAGATTGACACGCACATATTCGTTTTGTGAAATCATATTTATCTGTGCGCTATGAAACAGACAACTTCTTTCTATTTTTCAGAGGGATTGATTCTAGTGTTTCATATCGTAAAAGTCAAAGCTGTTTATTTAGTATAACATTAGTAAAATTCAATTGAAAGCTTGTGACAGAGCTCAAGCAATAAGAACACAGGAAGCAGCTGGTGAATAGTTCACATATGAAACCGCATTCAGGATAAGTAGAGGCACAAGTTCAATAGTAAGTATTTTGTGGTGGCTGACACACTATTTGACCTATTATGCGATTATATATGAGTTAATAGTTTGCGAGAACTAGTCAAAGTGCCTCGGAACTACGCTTGTAGTCAATACGTGCAAGCGGCCTGCGGATTCAGTGTCGAGGTCGGCGATGACAGCGTCGTATTGCTCCCAGGGATTGAGTGAACCAGAGGAAGGCGAGGTTAGAACCTGAAAGCAGTTAGATATTTCGTAGAACATAATGCGCATTAACTGCTAATCTCGGGAGAGCGAGTGGTGGTATGACACGTCCATGTCGGTCGTTATCAATTCTGGGGCTTCCTTCGGGTTGCTCTCAAATGTCTTGCGACATATTCATGGATTTATTGAAATTGGGAAAGATTTGTAGGTGCTAGGGAAAGAAAGTGCCCAGAGCAAGTATTCGGGCCGTGAAGCCCGGGGGAGCGCAGTTAGAAGAAATGGGGAGGAGCTTCAAGAAATGCTTCCGGGCGGCTCAAGTAGTTGGACAATTCGGCAGCGGACGTTGTAAACCCCGACTCGTCTCATCCTTTCTAAGCCATAGAAAGGGTATGTTCAGAAGTCAGACAAAATCATCAGCTAAGTAATCTGCTTCTACAAAGTGATTGTTTTATCATTTCAGGGAGCTGGGTGCAGGATATCCTGAAAAATCGAACATCCTAATGCAAGAGAAGACTTCTAAAACTACATGCAAATAAAGTGCGGTGGCTCTGATCCACGAAGCAGCACTTATATATGAAATAAGCTCTCAAAACACGAAATTGCGAGTAACTCTCACTAATCATATTAACTACCCACAGGGTGACGACACTCTGCTTTGGGTGGAGTGGGTAGGTGTATGCCTCACAACTTTTTCTCGGTTTTTTCTTGATATTTCTCCGGAAACGCTGAGGAGGGGATGTGTTTGGCGGTGTAGAGTATGTAAGCAGTTTTGTACCACGACCCATTTGAACCTCTAAGAGTTGAAACGTGAAGCCATTAATAAGTTCTTCCACTTCATAACCTGGTTGGCACAAAAAGGAACACCTAACATACGTAAAAAGCCTTTTCGAAGTCAGCCTGTCAAGGAACTTGTCAAGCGCTTCTCTGAAGGATCATTCCAGTTTTCTAGTGACAAGGTCCGCCACCGGTGACTGAATCCCAGTTTGGTCCCTGGTTACCCTCGTAGAGTGACCTGAGTTGAATCGGGCTTACCACGATAAGATACCTTGTCATGATAGGGGAGATCATAGTTTGTAACAAAATTTGTATACGCCAGTGTTGTATTCGGTGAGAGACTTGGATAAGCAGATATAATCTGGCGTCGTCGTTGCCCCTCCCTCCTCCCCCATATACATTAATCCCTCCCGCATTGCTTTTGGCCCTCTATGATTGTCCAGATCACCGGACACCTCATTTGACATTCTTTTCGATCACGTGGCGAAGTTAAGTTCACAGTTATCATCGCTATTGCATAGTAGTGATAAGCGGCATTTAACTAGGGTTCTCATATACCACGCGGGAAACTATCGAGGACTACACGGCTCGATTCTCTATAGCCTTGGGAGACAGAACGCTCCATCTTATGAATGAACCACGAATGAGTTAGTAGTAATATATGGCTTATGCCGGCTTGGCGGCGGCTTACGCTTCTGGCAATCAATGTATACGAACTTATCGTCTCCCAAGGAGTAAAGAACGCTTCAAAGGTAACAAACCTGCAAGAAATTGGCCAGCATGTTTGTAGTGGTCTGACTGAGGCCAATCGACAACTGATGAGCGTATTCCAGAGGAGTAGGTTGACGTCCTGTCTGGAGGATTCGCTGGAGCGCCATAATATAGTTCCTGAAATGTAAGCATGGCTCAAGTGTCGTGACGAGAGACTTCTAACCCTGCGAAGGAATAAAAAAAAGCAATGCCCGCTCACCTTGCCAGCCGGAGCGTTTCGATTTTGCTGAGCTTTTGGTGTTGAGTTGTAATGGGTACATACTGAAAGAAACCCCTTATATTGGCACTTTCAACAATCTAAACACTTTACAAAAACTTTATTGAAAATTTGGCGCTCACTCCCACTTTTTCCTTGGAGGTCATTACCAGGCATGAGAAAACAGCTTTCTTTTTCAAATTCAAAAAAAATCTTGTTGAAAAGAAAAAATACGAGCGGTAAAAAATAGTTGCCCATTCTTGAACATCTTGGAACTAATGGTGACCAGCCAATTAAGCAGCCATTGGTAAAAGATGAGTGAGTAAATAAGTAAACAGCAGCTGCCACACCTGTCTAAGCACATCCAGCGCGTCGTTCAAGCCATGCATACGTTGGCGTTCGCGTCCGTTTGCCTTCAGACGGCGCTGTTTCTTCTTAAACGACTCGTTCAACGTAGTCATGAAGGAGGTTGGGATCCGCAATGAATAACGACTGCCACCGGTGGGGCAGCACCGGTTGGTCCGGCGTCTTTTATAAGGCCATTCGCGTGGCCCCGCCCCCTCGCAGGATTGCCGTAGGTCCACTGGTTGCTTCGGATAGGTATGGCTTTAGGGCTTCGTTCCTAAGCCGGAGCCCGTCTCGAATTACTGCATAATAATAGAGCAGTAAGAGAGGAGATCATAATTAAGCGTGAGACCTTAACCGCAAAAGTTTGCCTAGTAGTGACACAATGTAGGAATTCATTTCTGTTTTTTGGCTTGCAAAATCTGCTGGGACTGAAATTTGTCTCTCTGGCTTCTTTCAGCCACTTCTGGACCTTGGCAATCCCGGTAGTCTTTTGGGTTCAAACCATTTCCTCATCATTTATGCGAATGCCGTGATGGACAGTCTTTGAGGTAGCCGCACCTTTGTACGAAGCGGTTTCAATTGTGCCATGTCTCGAAGCACTGTGATTTATTGACATTCCGAAAAGGTCTATTTCCTCAATAGAGGATAAGGGACCATGAATGTTGGAAAAGGTACATTTTAGACGGATTAGGTGACACCCATGTGGGGAACACTCGAAGACTCACTGCGCTCGATCGTGAAAACTCGTGAAAGATATTCCTGCTGTCTCCTGCCTAAACTTATTATAAGTTCAGAGCGTATGGCGTTCTATAAGTCATTGTGCCTAGTTATGCAGTACTCCTCAAGACACAGTGAAGAGGAGTGTAGAAGAATGGGATTACTCCTGAGCACTTGCCAGAGGTCATTCTGAACATGAAGCAATTCT